CTTCTTATAGGCACAATAGAAAGTGTCTCTATTGACACTTTCTTTACTTAGGGCATCACCTGCTGATATGACCTCTTCTTATAGGCACCATAGAAAGTGTCTCTTTGACCCTCTCTTTAGTTATAACATCACCTGCTGATATGACCCCTTCCTAAAGGCACAATAGAAAGTGTCTCTATTGACCCTCTCTTTACTTATAACATCACCTGCTGATATGACACCTTCCTATAGGCACAATAGAAAGTGTCTCTATTAACACTTTCTTTACTTATTACATGACCTGCTGATATGACACCTTCCTATAGGCTTAATAGAAAGTGTCTCTATTGACCCTTTCTTTACTTAAAACATCACCTTCTGAAATGACCTCTTCTTATAGGCACAATAGAAAGTGTCTCTATTGACACTTTCTTTACTTAGGGCATCACCTGCTGATATGACCTCTTCTTATAGGCACCATAGAAAGTGTCTCTTTGACCCTCTCTTTAGTTATAACATCACCTGCTGATATGACCCCTTCCTAAAGGCACAATAGAAAGTGTCTCTATTGACCCTCTCTTTACTTATAACATCACCTGCTGATATGACACCTTCCTATAGGCACAATAGAAAGTGTCTGTATTGACCCTTTCTTTACTTAGGACATCACCTGCTGATATGACCCCTTCCTATAGGCACAATAGAAAGTGTCTCTATTGACCCTCTCTTTACTTATAACATCACCTGCTGATATGACCCCTTCCTATAAGAACAATAGAAAGTGTCTCTATTGGCCCTCTCTTTTCTTAAAACATCACCTACTGATATGAACCCTTCCTATAGGCACCATAGAAAGTGTCTCCATTGACCCTTTCTTTATTTATTACATCACCTGCTAATATGACCCCTTCCTATAGGCATCATAGAAAGTGTCTCTATTGACCCTCTCTTTACTTATAACATGACCTGCTGATATGACACCTTCCTATAGGCTTAATAGAAAGTGTCTCTATTGACCCTTTCTTTACTTAAAACATCACCTGCTGAAATGACCCCTTCCTAAAGGCACCATAGAAAGTGTCTCTATTGACCCTCTCTTTACTTATAACATCACCTGCTGATATGACACCTTCCTATAGGCACAATAGAAAGTGTCTGTATTGACCCTTTCTTTACTTAGGACATCACCTGCTGATATGACCCCTTCCTATAGGCACCATAGAAAGTGTCTCTATTGACCCTCTCTTTACTTATAACATCACCTGCTGATATGACCCCTTCCTATAAGAACAATAGAAAGTGTCTCTATTGGCCCTCTTTTTTCTTAAAACATCACCTACTGATATGAACCCTTCCTATAGGCACCATAGAAAGTGTCTCCATTGACCCTTTCTTTATTTATTACATCACCTGCTAATATGACCCCTTCCTATAGGCATCATAGAAAGTGTCTCTATTGACGCTCTCTTTATTTACTACCTCACCTGCTGATATGACCCCTTCCTATAGGCATCATAGAAAGTGTCTCTATTGACCATCTCTTTACTTATAACATGACCTGCTTATATGACACCTTCCTATAGGCTTAATAGAAAGTGTCTCTAGTGACCCTTTCTTTACTTAAAACATCACCTGCTGAAATGACCCCTTGCTAAGGCACCATAGAAAGTGTCTCTTTTGACCCTCTCTTTACTTATAACATCACCTGCTGATATGACTCCTTCCTATAGGCAAAATAGAAATTGTCTTCATTGACCCTTTCTTTACTTAGGACATCACCTGCTGATATGACCCCCTTCCTATAGGTACAATAGAAAGTGTCTCTATTGACCCTTTCTTTATTTATTACATCACCTGCCGATATTACCCCTTCCTATAGGCACAATAGTAAGTGTCTCTATTGACTCTTTCTTTACTTAAAACATCACCTGCTGATATGACCCATTCCTATAGGCACCATGGAAAGTATATCTATAGACCCTTCCTTTACTCATATCACCTGCTGAAATGACCCCTTCTTATAGGCAGAGTAGAAAGTGTCTCTATTGACACTTTCTTTACTTAGGGCATCACCTGCTGATATGACCCCTTCTTATAGGCACCATAGAAAGTGTCTCTTTTGACCCTCTCTTTAGTTATAACATCACCTGCTGATATGACCCCTTCCTATAGGCACAATAGAAAGTGTCTCTATTGACCCTCTCTTTACTTATAACATCACCTGCTGATATGACACCTTCCTATAGACACAATAGAAAGTGTCTGTATTGACCCTTTCTTTACTTAGGACATCACCTGCTGATATGACCCCTTCTTATAGGCACAATAGAAAGTGTCTCTATTGACCCTCTCTTTACTTATAACATCCCCTGCTGATATGACCCCTTCCTATAGGCATCATAGAAAATGTCTCTATTGACCCTTTCTTTACTTAGGACATCACCTGCTGATATGACCTTTCCTATAGGCACCATAGAAAGTGTCTCTTTTGACCCTCTCTTTACTTATAACATCACCTGCTGATATGACCCCTTCCTATAGGCAGAATAGAAATTTTCTCCATTGACCCTTTCTTTTCCTTATAACATCACCTGCTGATATGACCCCTTCCTATAGGCACAATAGAAAGTGTCTCTATTGACCCTCTCTTTACTTATAACATCACCTGCTGATATGACCCCTTCCTATAGGCACAATAGAAAGTGTTTCTATTGACCCTTTCTTTACTGATAACATCACCTGCTGATATGACCCCTTCCTTTAGGCACAATAGAAAGTGTCTCTATTGACGTTCTCTTTACTTTAACATCACCCAACAGACACTTTCTATGGTGCCTATAACAAGGGGTCATATTATTATATATAATTACAATAAGACAATTTGTTGAATGTTCAATCAAGGAAGTAAAATTAAATAGTTCATAGAAATAAGAAGATGTGGTATGAGTGCCAATGAGACAACAGCTGCAATTTTTAACTAATTTAAAGAAACATTGCGGTCAAACTCTGTTAGTTTCGTGGAACATTAATGAATAGAGTTGCTTTTTCAAATGTTGTGGCTACAAACTATACACCAAACAACAGAATTACCACTTTAGAATTGATATTCATTTAATGACAAAACAATCAATCGCCAGAATTGAAACGTTCAGTGGCCACTATTTCATGCATGTTCTGGACGAGAACAAATTACAAATACATACAATACAGGTAGGTCCTGTAATAAGAGTCGGTCCGGGATGTAGGCCGGGGAAATTTGGACTGCTACTGGAAAATGATGGTATATTGGATAGGGACAGAAATTTTGCCATGCAACAGGACACCTACGGATACTGAACAGAGTTGTTAGATGGGTTCTCAACGTACAAAGAGCGTGGCGCTTTCTTTACACGAGGCATCGGATTTAACGTCCCCATTCTGGCCGGATATATCAGATTTGATTGGTGAGTCTTTACTCTTAAAAAAATACATATTTGATTATAATCTTCATTTACAGGAATATATTATAACATTATTTTTTTCGTTTCGAGAAACCCCGCTCGTCACACCCTGTGGTCAAAATCCATTGTTATTCGTAACAATAGATATATTCAATTTACACTTGTTTCAGAAATAGAAACTATGAAGTATAATAATAGAACTGGGTGTAAGTGCATATCGTTCTTAATTCAAACATTTCAAGCTTTCACCCGTCAGCGTTATGGCAACCAAAAAGTTTATATATGTTGAAAGTCGTTTCCCGACGTCATTTGCCTTACAGAGGCGAAATTGTTTTTTATGCGTGAATACAATTTTTGATCATCTGGGTCATAAAATTTAGTGTGTTTTGTTGGAATTATTAATAATAAAGTTAAAGGTTATAAATGCGGAATATTTTATGCGTAAACTCTCATGATTATGGGGGAGAAGCAACTTCCAAGCAAGGACCGAAGCTTATAAACTCGGCAATCAAACGCAGGACTTCGGGGGAAGTTCGGAGAGCCGACAACCTTGCTTCGGAAGTTGGAGGAGAAAGTATGATAATGCACATAAAATGTAGCGGGGTTAAACAGGTTCAAATTAATTCAAAACCTTGTACAAATCTTGAAAAGCTGATAAACCCAAAAGGACATTAATTAAAGCAAAATCCGGACAAGGAACGAGAGCTTTAAATCAATGAAATTGTATGAACGAAATAATTCATGCCAACTATGAAGTTCATTTTTTTTACATATATATGTGGTTATTTTTATTTGTAAAATTCTCTATCCAAAACAGTTATTATATTGGCGCAAAAAATAGTCGCATTTTCACAAATTTTTCATCTTTTATAGAAAAAAAAATATGCTTAAACTTATTTGTGTTAGTTGCAATTTTTTTTTACTTAAATCAAGAGAACGTAGTTTTTAACGTCCTGGAAACATGTAGATGCGATGAAATTTTAAGGTTATTCACATTTTCAAAATTTTCAATAAAGCTGTAGGTGGATCACGCCATAGTTTTGCATTATTTATAGTGCATACAGTTTTATTTTGTTTGCAAACATAATTCTAATCAGTTTTTAAATCAAAATGCAATCAGTAACGTGCAATTTTCGACTAATCAGAATTTGATGTTTGAAATATTCATTTAAATCAAACTTCGATGAGTAAATAAGCAAAAATTGGAAAATTTTACGCATTAAGTTTGAAAATTAACGGTAAATACGTTCATCATATATATACAACCATTTCAATGGCATTTTGATGACATCTTTAATGGCTACTTGAAAGAAAAAAGATTTAATCAATATTTTTATGTCTCATGAAAAGACCATAATTTTGAGAAACTTCTACTTTAAAAATCAAAAACTGTTTTTAGTTGTAGATATAGATTGGAAAGTACACATGACAAAATTATATGCCGATTGCTTAACTGTCACTTACTGACTAAACGATGACGTCACAAAGAACTGACCAATCAGCTGACAGCACAAATTTGTTTCATTGTGCTGTCGTTCACGTACACAAAATCCTTTTTATAAACCTGTAAATCCATTTCATCTTTTATGAACTGTTTTGAATGTTCAATGAAGGAGTATAATACCCAGGGAACAAACATACAGTGAAATTTTTTTCTCTTATCCAAGTTGTAAGTATGTTTCGTAAAATAAAATATTATCACACACCGAACAACCGACCTGTATCATTTTCTTCAAATACGATTGATACAATCATGCACTGCCGTTATCATATAGCACAAGTAAGGGAGTTTTGAAATAGTTTTTTTTTCTTTATTTCTGAAACAAAATAGACAGTCAATTGTTTCATTTTATTTAACATTATCGAAATAACATAAAAAATAATGTTGATAAATGTAAAAATAAGAGGATGAGATATAATTGTCAATGAGACAACTCTCAACCAGAGACTGAATGACGCAGAAATAGCAACTATAGGTCCCCGTTCGGCCTTTAACAATGAGCAAAACCCATACTGCATAGCAAGCCATAAACGGACCCGAAATAACAAATGTAAAACAATTCAAACGAGAAAACTAACGGCCTGATTCGTGTACAAAACAATAAACACAAAACAAATAAGATATACAACAATAAACGACAACCACTGAAGTAAAGGCTCCTGACATGAGACAGGCACATGTAAAGATTTGCGGGGTTAAACAACATGTTTGCAGGCGCCAGATACCAGAATCAATATTTAGACCGATAAAAACAATAGAAAAAGATCTTATTATAGTAACGAATTGGTAACCATTTAAAATAAGTTTATTTAAATGACCGATAAGTTTACACGGATCGTATCTTAGTTCAAGTTACGGGTTTGATAAATAGCATCACCGTAAAAATTAGGATGTGCTATTCCATTTTTGATAAATTCTAAATCTGTGTACCTATGTAAGTAATTTGTGGTAACGAAAACCTTGACTCAATAATTTACCAGTAATACATAGATTAGTACGTTCATTGAAATCCAAAACTTCACCACAGACGCACGGATTAGGATGTATAAACACCGTTGGATGGGACCAAAGGAACATCACCGTCGGAAAAAGAAAATTAACATTAGGAATTAAAAATTGTCCCTTTCGCCGTAAACTTTTGTGTAGACGAAGAGTTTCCCGTGTATAACTGAAATATCTAAACATCTAGGAAAGGACAGTTATTGATGTTTATGTTTGATTTATTCAAAAGTTCCTATGAGTGAATTTATGCAGATCTAGAATATCTAAACAGGCTGATATCCAGTTGAAATTAAACAACAGAAATGGAACTCTTTATTATAGAAGGTAGAAAAGGCTAGTTGGTATATTTGAATTGTCTACAACTGTTTCTATAGACTTTAAAAGTTAAATGTAGGGGCATAATTTATGATTTTGTGCATCTTATATACGTGCTTTTACTTCAATTATAGTATGGAGCTTCGAGATATTTGTTAACTTTTAAATTAAATAGACATTTTCACAAAACAGCCGATTGTGGTAGGTGTATATACATTAGGATTTTTTTTTGTGCATAAGTAAAAATTCCACAGAAAGAAAAAAGATTGATCTTTTTAAAGCATTAACTTGCATCTCTGCCCCCGGTGATAGTTTTTTTTTTTTTTTTTGGGGGGGGGGGGGGGGGGGGTGACCCTAAAAATGGGCAATAATTCCATCGAAAAAGGAAAGTCAAGTAAACCTTTTTATGTTCAGGTGTATTTGGGTTGACTATCTTGTCTTGTAAACGTATAAAGTCAAAACTTTTGAGTCACCATCTTGCTTTAGATTCTATTATTTTTATATGTTTAGGCTAAAAGTTGATATAATAACATTAAAAACAGCACTAAAAAGTGAAATATATGGGTCAGGTGAAGTACCTTTCTAATGAGTCGTAAAAACAGAGTTGGTGTGTTTGAGAACAAATTTTTACTGAAAACCCTTGACGACAGACTTAAAAGTGGATCTTTAAAATGCATGACTTAAAAAAGTATTATCTAGGGTAATTCGTCTTCAACCTCTGAAAATGTTCAGTCTGCCCTTCCACGAAATATTTAATTAGAATATTTTTTTTTGTGTTTTTGAACTTTCTAAAATCCCTCCTGACAACCGACAGACATTAGTTTTAAGTTGACCAAAGACCTAAAAGTATATTAAACGATGCTTAAAATAGCTAGCAAATACATTTTTCATTTAAACTACATGCAACTGGCATATAAGGGTCGCAATGGTGCTATGTGGATAAAATTATCGGTTTTCAAGAGCTAAATTGACAGCGCCGCGTAATGGGGAGATATTTTTGACGAAGTAGAATCCTGACTGTAAAGCACATTTACACACTTTTTAAAATGTTTATTTCATGTTTAAAAAAAAGATTTAGGTTTTACTAATTAACAGTCGGAAGACGGTTAACTATATTTTAAAACCCTGTCGAACCTTAGAGTAACGGGATCAATTTTGTCAGCAATATAACGGAACTATAAACAACTGTCATACAAGTGGGAGAATTAGCTAGCTATAACCCAGATTTAACCCGCCATATTCTTCTGAAAATGCATGTACCAATCATTTCAGTTCAATATCAGGGATATAAGTACATTTTAAATTAAGCTAAAGCGTTTTTCGGCTGAGCGTAGGACATAAGGGTAATTATTTGATCCATTCTTTCTACCACGACCAGTCGTAAATTTTTTCAAAATATGTTTTCTATAACGAAGTTTATGGACGACCATTTGATTTTAAGGGAGACAAAGAGTAGTTTTCGGGCGGAATGTTTATTTTCACCTGCATTATACGGGGAAGAATTTTCAATTTCATCATGTCTTGGGCAAGATTATTTTGGTTCCGTTCTTACCTTTGTAGGATATTCATTTCCGAAGTCTTCCTCCCCACCCCCACCCCACCCTCACCCGAATATCACATGATCGTCTCCTTGGAAATGCCATGTCTTGTGCATTTCACGGTTTCTCATTTTTTAATGTACTTTCTACGTTATATCATTTTTTCTAATATACGATAGAGATAATTTTCCACTTTTCTAAATGCATTTAATCAAAATATAGATATCTGATTTCATTATGCTAATGCTTCGACGAGTAATCGAGTTACGATAGCATTATAATCAGATTGTCAAAAATAGTTTTCTTCCATTATAATAAAATGTAAACTTCCTTTATTTTAAAGTCAACTTTAATTTAAACGAACCCGTCAAACTTTTCATTTCATAGTTTACACGTATTAACCGCTAAATTTGAAAATAAAGAGTTAACTAAAATTTGATAACCTTGTTCATGTAAAATATTTTCCATTGATTAAACAAAATATTCATATTTTATTCTTTTATGTTCTTTATTTGATTTTGGAAAAACAATGAAACTGTGATTTTCGTCTCTATTACTCCTCATCCGTAAGTGATAAATAAGATAGCACGTACTTTCATGTTTTCTTTACTGATTTCAAAGTAATGTTAATTTACATTTTATTGTCATCAAACGAAATTTGAGGCCGATTTTTGTTTCCTAAAATTGGATTACGCTTGCAATAATTTTGATTTTCTATAATTATTTACCTGAATTATATAATGTAAAAAAAAATATTTTCTTCGTAAGATATTGGCGTTAAAAGGAAAGAAAATCAAAAGAAAAAAAACGAAGGAAAAGGAAATGTTTCCTTTCTTGAACACCAACAATTATTAATTTAAAGTAGATGATGGCACCATATGCAGTGGAAAAGGCATTTGAGGTGCAAAATCAAAATTGCTTCGTACAATTATAGTTATTGCGCAAGTGTCAGATTGATGTACGGGTTATTATTATTCAAAGTAGTAAGTAAACAGTTATACCAGTTTAGAAATATATCTACAAGCAAGGTTAATTCTACCATTGTACTGTATGGGTTTTATTTTCTGGATGTTCAAATTATATTGAAAATTTGGTTAATTTAGACGACGAACAGAAATTAGTTGAAATTAAGAATTGTCATGAAATTCAAACTTTTTAAGCAAAAGTATTTTTAATTTTTTTATGAGACGAAAGTTAATTTTAGTTTGAGATACTAATTTTCATAGTTTTCAGTAACCTTTTAACTTTACTTCTTTTAAAGTCATGTGAACTTAAATGAAATAAATAATAATAATAAATGTTTATACATATGATGTAAATGATAAATCTTTTTAAAATTGCTCGAAAAACAAATTTAAGTAAATGTTATGTACATATAAAAAAAAGAATGTGAATCATTTTGTAAATATGTGTCTCAGGCTGGGTATTGATTATTTTAATGTATATCTTTATTATGTCATGTTATAAATGTACAATTAATATGTGACACAATAATAAAATAAAGTTCATGTATCGTCATATTCATTAACTCATCATAACCAACTTTCATGTATTAATGACAGTAAACTAATTTTGAAACTGTCGAATAATTTTACTCTTTTTATTGTGTCATAAAGACTTTTTTGTTTCATTCCACTTTGAAAAAAGACCCTCTTCCTTTACTTTTTTCAAAATGCAAGGAACAAACAAGGCTTCTTATCTGACCAGCTACTTAATTAGATGTGGCTTGAAGAATGTTTTCTTATCTTTCAGTCCACAATGAAATGGATCCTCGAGATCCTCTTCCTTTTGGCTTTGATTACAATATCAAGCGGTAACATTGAGGAACAGCCTATGCCAAGTATACTATGCGACTGTTTCTCTCGAAACAAGTGTGACGTCACTAAGGAAAAGGCAGACACTATTCACTTCAAATGCATCAATTATTACCTTGCACATACGTACAAGGACAGGTAAGTGGAAACACAAAACTGATAAATCTGATAAATCTGATAAATCTGATCGATATAGGCTACCATGTCTGACTAGTTTTTTTTATTTGTTTTTATAGAAATAGTAATTTTAAATTGACTGAGACTTGATTGTATATATCCTTAATAATGAGCAACACGAACCCCAACAAAAAATTGGGGGTAACCATTGGGGCCAAGGATCTGTCAGTTATATATGAGGGTCTGGATTGGGTTAACAGAATAAAGAATAATGGCAAAAGAAAATTAACGAAAAGAGAAAAATGCGCAAAAAAAAAAAAAACAGAATAGAGAATATTGGGGTGCAAAGTATTTAGAATAATCGTTGAAATTAAATAATTAGGTAATTCAAAACTGAATAATAAATAAATGAACGATGTACAGAATAAAGAAATCATATAATTACAAACAAATAACAGTAAAATCATTTCCATTAGAATTTGCAGAATGAGTGTTATTTTTCAAGATAAAGAAAACTGTCCTAAAATTAAAAGAATATAAAAAGTAAGGATCCCCTCATCCAGAATCTCATATATAAAAGTCAACTGCTCATCGTTGAAGGGCGTACGGTGACCTATAGTTGATAATATCTATATCAATTGGTCTATTGTGGAGAGTTGTCTCATTGGCAATCTTACCGCATCTTCTTATTTTATATCCAATGCCACATAGCACTTATAACTTGCATTAATAGAAAACATAGGATTTGGGGTATCCATTCATGGTACAAAATCTGTATATGCACAGAACAAAAAGAAAAAAAGACTAAAAGCAAAAAAACTAGCGCCGTTCTTCATAAACAAATCACAGAAAGTTCTTCAGCACCTCATTTTTTGTTTTCATTTTTTTAATTACAGGTGGTACAGGAATATTTCTGGGGAAGCCTTGAACTATGTATTGTCGCTCGAAAGGGAGGCAAATCAAGTCATTGAGTCCACCAGAAAGAAGCGACAAGCAGATAACAATTTGATCCATGGCATACGTAAGGAGTTGCGCACTCTTAGTCGCGAGGAGAGGACTCGTTTTTACGCTGCAGTAAACAGCCTCAAAAACAACAGAGTGAGTGTTGCATATACATACTACTACATGGGGTGTTTAACGACCTTGACTTCCCATAAGGGTCTCGCACGGTCGGCTAGTCACATACATGTAATTTATTTATCAGCCTCCTTTATGTTATGCATAATTCGCCTTTTCAAAAATGTTAATGACTAGGGGTAATTGCTTGTATCCTACAATGAAAGTAACTTCACGTCATTGATTAAATTTCAATTGTTTTAGACGGTTTTTACCAATCACAATGTTTGTTGTACCGGCGTTTAAAAAAATATTACCCAGAAAGCATTTCGTGCGTTCAAAGCATTTTTCTGGATTTACCTTCTTCAAGAACCATCAAAGCCGAATATTTGAACTAATGAAATGAACACTTATGCTTTTTCAAAGACTTTTTAGATGATATTTGTCATTTGTTTTTGTTCGTCAAAATAAAAAAAAAACTTTATTAAGATTAAGTACGACGAACCAGGCATTGCCAATTGAGATAATATAATAGCGCGCGAAAACAAATAATAAATGCCAAATGTATGCACATAGTGCGACACAATAACACAATCTTTTTCACTGTGGACGTCATCATGTATTCTATATCTTTTTATCTAAGTTGACCTTAAAAGAATTTGGCTATTATTTTTGGGTGTTTATTTTCTGTTCAGCTAATAAAACATAATTCTTACAAGGATGGCGTGTTGTGTCGTTTCCATCAAAATAAAAGATGGAATATTGCAGTCTCATATATAGTTTGACGTTAATTGACCATCCACACATTTTACAACACAACATAAAATACAAAGATTTCAATTTTGACATTTCCCATATAAACCTATTATAAGAAATCTTCAAGTCTAAAAACTAGTATATTACAAACAAAGCGAATACACTTTTGTAATACACAGTCATATATTATTTAATCATTTTTCATTTTAGATTGGTAACACAAATTCATACGAAGCAATTGCAAGTCTTCACAACAACAATGCTTTAAATGCGGCTCATTTTGGTGTCGCGTTTCCATCTTGGCATAGATATTTTCTATACTTGTAAGTTTTTACTATTCTTATTCACTGTAATCATGGTTCACTAAATATTACTTTACCTGTCTGGTTTGAAAGTCAGGTTGTAATACCCTAGAACTCTAGAACTCTCAGGACTCAAAGAATTCCTTACCAGTCCCTAGTTCTCACGGACTATGTGTACATGTCGACCCTATTTAAATCATGATCCTACATATGACTTATAAATTTAATCGTTTTATATTTTTCATGCCGGGACCTTTTATAGCCGACTACACGGTATGGGTTTTTCTCATTGTTGAAGACCGTACGGTTGCCTATACTTGCTTACATCCACTTTATTTGAACTTTGGTGGATAGTTGTCTCATTGGCAATCATACCACATCTCCTTAATTTTAAATTAATGTTCATGTAACAGTTTAAAATTTGTTTTACACGAAGCAGGATTTCCCGAACATATATTTTTTATATATTTTGCTCTCTTTCACAAAGGGCAGCGTTATCGTGATATCATGTTACCAATCTCTCTCTCTCTCTCTCTCTATATATATATATATAAATTTGTAATGAGTATATGTATTATTATATTGACGCCGCTACTCTGAATACTGTTCGTATGTTTTCCAGATTCGAACAAGCACTACAACGATTCGATCGAACGGTTACTCTGCCCTATATCGACACCACAATGGAAAACAGTCTACCGAATCCATGGATGTCCAATTTATGGTCTGCTGAGGGTATTGGTAATATTGATGGGGGCCAGGTTAATGTGGGACCATTTGCGTATTGGCGATATCAAACAGAGGACCAACGGTATGTCCCACTCACAAGAAATGGCGGGTCAGGAAGAGACTACTTCCCGGCAGATTGTTATAGAAACATAATAAGTGAAAGCAGAAACTATAGAATATTGGAACCAATTGCTGCTAGTATTCACAACTTAGAGGCGTGTCATAATTTTGCGCACGCCACTATAGGCGGCACGATGAATGATATTGATGTTTCCCCAAATGATCCGGTATTTTACTTACATCACTGTTACGTAGACAAAGTTTGGCAAGATTTCAGAGACAATGCCAGATCTGTTCTAGGTAAGTTTAATTCAAGTCAATCATAAATAAATATCAACTTCATGTTAACACCCAAATAAAAGCTGAAAAATTAAAGATGTAAACAATGACTCAGAGTTGCTGAACAGATATAATTGGAGGCCCCTGTATTAGTTTCCTTAAAATGATAAAAATTGGGAAAATGGAACAAAATTTGAATATGAATATAAAGTAGTCTAAATGGTACACTTTAAACATATGATTTGTAATTTAATTATAAATTTATGAATTTTCCAGTGGAAGCCATTATTATCTGATAGACTGACGGAATAGATGACCGCTGATATGATTTACTATTCTCGACTACAATCCCGTCCTCTTTACTTTGGTATGACAACATCGAAGGATACTTTTCGAGTTTTACTCACAATCAGCAACATGAATGGTTTCATTTTTGGGGCAGGTATTGTCTGCGCATTGTAAGCACCTGAATGGAATTTGCGTTTGATTGGTTTCGCGTTGCTCAATCTTTAGATTGATTTGAGTTTTTTATGGGCTGTATCATGGTTGAAATGAACCTTGGTTTACGCTCAGTAATTCAAGTATCCCACTTGATTGAACTGTATTTTATGTCTTGTAATTACTAATTATTAGTATCCTTTTATCATGAAGAATGTATGAAATAATTGCCACTGGACTTTAAGCAACCAACAATCAAACAATCATTCTATCATGAAGTCAATTTCATCGAGATGATTGTACTTTCCTGCTTATTAATACATTGTCTGTAGTAAAGGATCTTTTATGTTTCATAAATGAATTGTATTTATCGTTTTTAAACGTTTCTCTATACTAAAGCACATAGCACAGCAAGGCTTCACAAGTTTGAAAAGAAACAACAGAATAACTATGTTAAGCAAATTATGCATATAATATATTTATTTGAAGAAATTGTTTTAGTGAATTGAGATTCAATTACGGACACAAATTACGATGTTCTACTCATTCACAGACACAAATAACTATCTCTTACTCATTAACCGACTTAGAAATACTGAAATGTGTTTTATCCTTTTCAAAAGATGTGTGTTCTATGTTAGTTGTTTTTGTAAACCTAGACTTTTTTAATACATATATTTACTAGTTTCAAGTCTTATTCGAACTACTTAGTAATTCTTAGCTAGCCAAAATAGTTTCTATTTCAACTTGCAAATATATAGTTTGTCGTATTTCTTTAATTATTATAATTCACGCTAAGCCTTAATGTTGTTAGAAAATCCATGTTTCAGGTGATAGTTACGAATTCGATTATCCAGTTACTGCTGACGAATTCCATAAGCCGAATCGGGCAATGGGTAATTTAAATCAAATAACAAATACAATGGGATATCTTAAAGTTTTCGATGAAAGAATAACCCGTTATGCGCCATCTCCGGGAGAAATCACTTGCACAACAAACGCTGACTGCCAAGCTCCTCAATTTTTGAGATGCTCATCTGGACGTTGTATACCAATTTTGCGTGGTTCGTCATCACCCGTTGGTAGAAGAAAAAAGCGTGACGTAGAAAACGAAGACGTCGAGTATAAATCCGTTATGGACAGTTCATATCAGAACAATTTTGTTATCGATGGAGAAGCTGATGTAAATCAATGGGCCTTCATTCCAGTAACTTTGATGTATATCAGACCGATGGGACAACATTTCGGATGCAGCCCTGTCCGAAATGGTAGTATAGATGACAACTATGATATCTATTCAAACGACAAAACTTCAAAGCTATGGGATTATTTTAAACCAGGAGTAGACAAAAGACGGGTTTCCGATTCTCAATCTGGAGCAACCAAGTTTTTCGTACAATCTGATGGTATATCATACAAAGGTAGATACATAGATTATGGGATTATCGACACTAGGCAGATGGTATATGAAACAGTCGCTTATGTCGGTGTAAAAAATCCTCGAGGTGGAGCTGCGACGGCTTATCTGAGCGTTTATGATCTTCACGGCCATGTCTGTCAGCCACGTTGTATAGACAGATCGTCCAAAACACTTTTTTATAAAAAGTGTTCCGGTGTTATCAAAGTGACGAAAGAAGAGCCCCAAATGTATGGTGACGACGTTGCTGAAGCTGTCAGGTACAGATATACGTATAAAACTTTGACGGAAACAAACCTACAAGTAATTACCGAGATATATTTCTTCAATTCGTTTGTGAGTATGGAGCGGAGTACCCATGGAACGACTGTGGTAGCGTTTAAATTCATCTAAATGTAAATTCTGAAAGATCAATATCAATAAATGAAAATAACTGTTACTAATGTTCTTGCGTCCTGATTTTCTGGATCAACCTTCATCGGGAACGCTCTAACCTAGACATCTGAAACTCAAGGATGTATTCATACTTAGAAACGTTAGGAGATATAAGAACAAAAGAAACATTGCCTGAGATAGTATGACTTAAGTTTCTTTATCATTTCCTAATATATCAGCGTTGGTAAATGAAAGTCAAACTGGAAATTTTTCGTTCTATTTGACGTTAGCATTGTCTTAATATCTTGATTTACTTCATATTGATACCTTTTTATTGCTGCTGCATATAACAATTTTGTCTTTCCTTTATGATAATTTTCCTGTTCTAGTACAATATATATAGAAGAGAGGCGAAAGATACTAAAGGGATATTCAAAGTCATAAGTCGAAAACATACTGACAATGCGATGGGAAAGCAATCAGACTAATCATTTGGCTGTTCTGTTTAGACCCTTATAATTTATGTGATAATAGTCATTCAGCTTCCAAGACTTTTTGTCTCAGTCTTACTCGATGACAGTGTTTCGTTGAATCAGTGTTCTGCATGAGGTTATTTTAAAATCAGGTTTCCAACTGAGAGTAACTATATCCTGATCGAATAAACGACGGAAGCCAAATATCAAAGGTCAATAAATCGAATTTCCAACTGTCAAAGAACGTCACGTTTTCGTTAGAAGTTCATGCATAACACTTAAGTCTATTCTCCCGTTTAGTTAATGGTGTATGACGGATATGTTAGAACTATGATAGATTAATGTCTAAAAGTAGTAAGCTATGAACTTGAATAGCAAACAAATTAAAATGATATATCAAGTAGCAGCAATAAACCTTCCTGCACCATCAGACACCATCATCCGCCAAACATCACACTCTGGACAAGTTGTACTAGAACTATGAATGAATTCAAAATTTTTTACTCTCGCCAGTGATACCATTAGCCAGGATCTCACTAAAGATTTTTCTAGGTGAGTTCAGAAACTACCCTTTAAGGCTATAGTGAGTCTAGCATTCTTTTAATTTATTCCCGAAGTTTCAATTACAAAAAGATTCAGGAAATTACATTAAAGTTAGATGTTTACTCACTTTTTTTACACAATCATACATTGGAACTCAGCTGATACATTTTTCTACAATCCTGATGCATTTTAGGACTCGGCAGTTCAGACAATAATGAGTCAAGACATATTTTGATGATTCCAAGATTCATTGACTCGTCGTAGTGAGATTAGAGAAGACTGCATAAGTATATTTTAAATGTATATGTCAAAAAAAGAGCGACTAAAGATACAAAATGGACATTCAAACTCATCAGTCAAAATTAAGCTGACAATGCCATGGTAAAAAATGAAACAAGACTAAAAGACAAACAACAAAGACTGAAAGAAAGGTGCTCCAAAAGGGTAAGTAGATCCTGCTGCACGTGTGGCACCCGTCGTGTTGATCATGCAAGTACAAACCCGGTGATAATTCTAATTCGATAGGTCACACTCGGGGAAAGGAGGACGGGATTGTGGTTACGATGATTGGAACATAATTTTTATGTAACAGTCTTCTAGGAGACGGGAAACAATTTAATATCTAGGAAAGGGAGGATATTTCTTTATAGAAATTATCAGACAGACTTTGACATTAATGTAAAGTTTCGTCAATATCTATTTTGCTGTTTAGGATCACAATCAGAGACTTTAACCAATTACTGCAATATTGAAGTAAGTTCGATTAATTCCCCTTAAAAATGAGAACCGGGATTATTTTCCTTTCTACTCTTATTAAGTAGTGTAAAGTTTCATCAAGATCGATCTAGTCGTATAAAAGGAGATTCACTTACAAGTTTCTAGTTTTTACAACATATTGCTATATTGAATTCATAAGGAAAATTGATTTATCTCCCATTAATATGAAGTACATGAATATTTTTGACAACAAGGGTGACTCAGATACCCGTATGTCAGTGCAAGGGAGCGAACCAGCCTAAGGAATACTGTTCATTTATACACGTTCTACAACTTTGTAAAGTTTCATCAATAGCATTTAAGCTGTTAAGGAGAATTTCCGCTTTCAAGAGACTGTTAATACACCATATATTGCAAACTGAAGGTATTTATTTCGATTATTTCCCTTTATACATTGTAGACCGGGATTACATGCACATTCTTATGTAATGTTTTACAACTGTAAAGTTTCATTAAATATCGATCTTGACGGTGAGAAAGAGTTACAAGACACATGTATTGATAGACAGTCAGATAAACAGATGGAGAGACGGGTGGACAGGCTGATGCCTTCATAAAGCGTTAACGCTATTCGTGGTTAAAAACACAGTAAAAACAATGGAAAGTGCAACTACATATAATCTCTCAACAAACGAGGCATACACATACAAAGAATATAATTGCGACATAGAGAACACAGCCATGTATCAAATCGGACAAAGACAATATAGCAATATAATACAGGCACTCAGTAATTAAATGCAAATATGATGCTTTACGCAAGACAAATAGCGCAAGTAATACGATCGCCCTCTTTGAAAAATGGAGAGTAAATGACCTATCCGGGCACTATCTTTTAAAAGGTAGGACAACGATGGTAGGTTTAAGAAAGAGAGTCGAAAGATACCAAAAGCGACATTCAAGCTCATAAGTCGAAAACAAACTGATAATACTATGCCAAAAAAAGATAAACGACGAAAAGTCAAACAACAGTACACGAAACCCAACATAGAAAACCAAAGATTGAGCAACACGAACCCCACCAAAACCGGGGGTGATCTCAGATGCCCCAGAAGGGTAAACAGAGCATGCTTAACATGTGACACCCGTCGTTTTGTTAATGTAAGTACCAACCCGGTGATTAGTCTACTTCAGTATGTTACATTCGAGGAAGAGAGGACGGGATTGTGGTTACAACAATTTGAAAATATTGTTTGTCTTTTAGATTGGAATCGGAAATACTTGTGTAAAGGGTAAAAAAGTCAAATGTTTTAATGCTATTGCAAAAGGAAGAGACTTAGATTGTATGTGCTCTAACAGTTCTTTCGAATATTTAACTATCCACTATCTATATTTTTTTTATCATTTTATCAAGAGTGACCTTCATAGTAGCATAGTAGGAAGAAACCAATAGTTTATTATTGTAGATGTTCGAGCAAATTTTAGGAAAAAAAATGCTAAAATCAAGGTAACATCTACATGCACGATCAAAAGATTAAACAGAAGTAATCACAAATCTGCAATTAACACATGATTTTTCAAATAACGAAAAATACTAAGATGTGATATACGACTACCGAAGAGGTTCTTGACTTGGGACAGGTACATTTAAACAATTTTTATACAAGTGGGAGGTTTAGCAAGCTATAAAACCAGGTTTAACTAAACATTGTCTTCACAAAATGTCTGTACCAAGTCAGAAATGTGACTATTGCTTTCCATTCGTTCCGTAATTTTTGTTTTCAGCAACGTCATCAAGAGTGCAGAAAGAAACTATCTTGTACAAAATGAGGAACAAACTGTACAGAAAAATGCATTTGCTTAAATTATATTTTAAAAGAATTTTCTGGTATCTAAAGATCTAAGACTCCGGAAAAATGTCGCTATTAAATTGAGAAACATACATATCGAATCAAGTAAACGATTTGTGATGTATCGACACAAAGTATGTAGTGTCAATTTCAATTGTTTTTCCTCGTAGCTCTTTTGAAGCAGTTTTTGTGTAAAGAACGTTTTCCTGCTATTGTATATTGTAAAGTGTAATCCTGCTTGAGCGTAACATATCAATGGAAATGTGTAGATCTCACGCGATGGAAAAGAGGGTATGCTCAGCTGCAATGTGGAGTTGAACATTGGAAAATCACATCATCAAGTTTGTAATATAGCCTAGTATGGAGTCGTCCATCTGAGTCAATATCTAGGAAAAATCAAGATATAAAGCAGGGCTAACAATAGTATCCGTAATTCCAAGTTCACTGGGATATATGAGATGCAAGCACTCACTGGAATGGGGGTTATTGAGTAACAGGACATCTAAGATTTGTATTTTTGTATACCATAAAAAAGCTTTGTTTAATAAGACGATGTATGCAATCTCTCAATTGAACAATGAAACAATAAATTAATCTGTGGAAAGAGCACCATTTGAAGAACGTTATTTTAACATGGTTTAACTCACATTTTATAAAACTAACACTTAAAATAATTGTTGCATCCGAAGCTCTTTTTTGAATTTACATTCACCAGGAACGTTCATACCAAATAAATTGAACTAACAAAACACTTGAAATACAATGTCACGATCAAAAGGGGGCTCAAACAATAACCAAATAAATCTATAAAGCCATCTTTACAAAAATGTGTAACTTATAAACGGACGTTAATTCCCTGGATTACTAAACATGTATATGAATGTTCCTGTGTGCCATTTAGCAATTCGATTCAAATATACTTAAATATTTCTCTGCGCAAATTTTTTTTTTTTTTTACAAATTTCAGTTTACCAGCTCTGCAATGTTAAAATCATGTTAACAAATAGTTATTCCTTTATTGAATTATCCAAGTTGATTGGAATAGATAATTTACAAGCAGTTGATGAATCAGTCATGAGAAACAAACATTGTGGTCAACAATTATTATCTAAGAGAAAGCAGCAGTACAAAAATTTAACAGAAACAATCAAAGATCTGTCACTATAAGCAAATTATCCAAATAACAAAAAACATTGAGATACATGTATTACATCCTCAATATTCCTCCTTATGTAATCTATATTAGTAGTGCCGGCTATAAGAACAAACTTGTAAATGACGTCTAGAAACCATTTCACCCAAAGCAAAAATCACCCCCAAAAGAACAAAAATCTTATTAAATTGTATGCATTGATGTTTTGTGTAAATAATTTACGTAATAGTTTAAAAGCCCTGAAAGGAACATAGTTACTTAAGATAGGTGTACAGATGGAACTTCAACATATATATACTGAATTGTAAAGATCCATACTTTTTTTATA